TACCCGTCCTGCAAAAAGGATGGGGCATCATCTCCGTTATCAAATTCTTCTATTCGGATTGAAATGATTTGGTGGATGTTTCCGATTTGGTAACAGTCTGGTAGTTTGGTGATAATTTGGTAAAATCTTTTGCAAGAAAGTATAGCATACCAAAGTCGGTTACATAGTATTCCAATCTTGGTAGAGTCACGTTGGTAATGAGTTTTTCGTAACTAATCTGGTAGATTTTACTGGTTTGGTAACCGTATAAAAATCACGTGGTCATATATAATTTTGATAACACTTTTGTGTCCTGGCAAATTAAGTTTGGACGATATATGTAGAATTCCATTTTTGAAATAGTTATCTATGTACAGTGGTAATAAATTTGTTACCGAATTATTATCCGAGCGAGCGATTTGACCAATTCGAACAATAAACGATATTCTTTCCGCACAGCCCTCATTTTTCTGGGGATTTGATCACATCACTAATCGTGATCTTTTTCTTGGTCTCTTATTATTTATAAATCCCTTCAACTCAACTCCTGTCCACCATTTCCTACTATTTTTACACTCAGAATAAAAAGTAAGCAAATTGCTACTGGGCGGTGTCTATATATGACCTCACCGGTTTGGTAGCGATTTTCTACGGAATTGTAGTAAATTTGCTACCACCTTTTGACTAACCATAACAGCGGGGTAAGGAAATGCTACAAGATGGTAGCAAATTTACTACAATTCCGGTAGAAAATCGCTACCAAACCGGTGAGGTCATATATAGACACCGCCAGTAGCAATTTGCTAACTTTTTATTCTCAGTGTATGTAATCCTAAGCCTCTCACGGCTCGTCAATACGTTGCCCACCCACTCGCAGTAAGCAGAGGTCGACGCTACCGATCGTCCATAAGATTCGCCAGTAGTATTTTCGGGGCCGCCGATAAATCCGACTTCATATCTCTTCAACATACATATGCTTTGACGCCGCCGAAAAGAATCGCAAAAATTGCGCAAAAACCGCAAAATTCAAAAAGATTCGATTACCTACTTCTTCAATATTTAGACGCCGCCGAAAATCACAAAAATTCGACAAATTTGATTTCTTCAATTAAAATACAGCCGTCGAAAAATTACCAAAATTTACGCCACAAAAATTCGACAAATTTGATTTTTTTCAACTAAATACAACCGTCGAAAAATTACCAAAACTTGCGCGTCCATCGCCGCCGCCGCCACAAAATTGGTCGACGTCGACCTCTCTCCTCACACCCACCATTTTTTTCCTTCATTGTGCGAATTACTTACTTGCGTATAAGACAAAACTTTTGTTTTCAATGAGTTTAATAATTCTAATCACTTCTGTTTCTTTTTTATGCGAACCATTCCATCATTATTTTTGCCTCTTCTTAACTATTAATTCACTCCATTGTTGTCTGATAAAAAAAATGCAATAATCCAATCTTCGCGTACATACGTAGATAGTTATCAAACTCATCATCAAAAATAAGAATGCGGGGCTGGAAGACAATGAACTTTTGTTTCTTCTCTTTTCTATCTACTTACACCCGACTTTTAATAATAAACAAGACTCGATTATAGATTTTTTTTATATATGTTTGCAAAAATTGCATTGCAAAATTAATTTGCAAAGTTTAAAAATAAATGTAAAACTTGCATAATTTTTGCAATTCATTCGGATGTTGGTGAACCGTCAAAGTTTGTGTAATCTGCAAACTTTTGGGAATAAAAGAGATGTCATTGGAAGTTTAAGATGCACTTTTATACAATCTATGTACTTTTCATTCTTAATCTTTGCAAATTTGGGGAAAAGATTGGCAAAAGTTGGCGAATTTTACTAGATTACAAACAACCGCTGACAAACCCATCTTTAAACTGTGCAAATTTTGTGTTATGCAAATTTTTACACAAAAAAAAGAGAGAAAAAATGGCAAAACTTTGAGAATTTTACTACATAGATTACAAAAAACCGAGGATAAAATTAAGGTTTGTCTACAAATTGTGCAAATTTTTGTGTTATGTATACAAATTTTTACAGAAAAAAAGAGAGAGAAATGGCAAAACTTTGAGAATTTTACTACATAGATTACAAAGAACCGAGGATAAAAGTAATGTTTGTCTGTAAACTGTGCAAACTTTTACACAAAAAGAGAGAATTACAAAAATTGCTTAAAGTTTACAGGGTTACAAAGACCCGAGTGAATGCATGCATCATTACTTTCCCCGAGACCCAGATTTACGTAATCTACTCTCAATAATAGAAACTATATCGTTCCATCTCCCACTTTTATTTTTCTCGACCCGCAAACAAAATAATTCCAAGAAAATAAAACTCCATCGAGCTCTCAAACTTTACTTTCTCCACTTCTCGGATACCCAGGTATTAGAACGTCCCCCTCGTTCTCTGAGAAGGAGAAGTTGCGAAGTTGACAGTACCCGATTTTGACGCCGCTTGGATATGTTGCATGATTCATTGTTGAGTCGCATTCAAACCTTGCTCAAAATCAAATTTTCATCAAATTTGTATAATTTTCTAAATTTCCTGATCCTAGATACATATCCGACAGGAAAATCTATTTTTCTTTAAATTTTCTTGTAGTATTATCAAAAATTTCCTAGCCTAGTCTTCAAAATAATCAAAATTTCAAAAGATTCGAGTTTAATATGGACCATCACAAATACTTAAACTATCTACGATCAAGACAATAAAAATCAAAAATTTTCAAAATCCAAATTTTCAAAATTGGGTTTTTCGCAATGGCTAATGGTTTGAACTGGGAAAAGTAGTGTTTTTTTCTTACTTTTCATGCCAGGTGTAAATGGAGCCATGGAGTAAGAAATCGTGGATCTTACAATTATTACATTCATCGGTTATCAGTGATAACTTATCACAAAATCTGGCATTGCCACCTTCACAACCTCTCCTCCTCCTGAGTGGCAGGGCGACTAAGTACTTTCCACTGACTCATTATTTAGTCAAGACCTCGCAAAGTTTCTAGAAATGCGAAAACCCTCCCTCCGTCTCATCCGAGTACCACCAACCACTGCTTATTTATGCAGTTGACATGTCGCCCGGTCTGAGCTAAGCGGAAAATAATGTCGTCCTCCTCTTCATCTGTTGAATAATAAAAGAAGCACAAGAACGCAGAAAAATAAGAGACGGTCTCACTAAATTTTGCACAGTTTGATATCTCAAAACCAAAATTGCTCCTGACAAGGAAACACTTTTATGTGCGGAGAAAACATTCAATTTTCCTGTCCGATTCGATAAAATGTGTCAAATTTGATTTAAATTGGTGCAAAATTTAATGCTTGCTCACTCAGTCACGCTTTTGTAGGAAAAAAGTATCATTTTCTAGGAAGGAAATGTGTAGCGGGGTCCAATTTGATGAGGTGAGCTACCAAAAATGTAAGATTTACTCGGATGTTTGTAACGTAACTGTGTAAATTTTGCAAGATTTATGGTAAAAACTGGTAACTACAAAATAAAGAGGGGTTTCACCCGTATAATTTTACGAATCATTTGCATATGACTTTTGAAAATTTAGTGACAAGAATTTACCGAGTTATAATTTCCGAGTGAATTTTGTACGAATTTTAACACGTGTGACATGAAAAATTGTAACGTTTAAGCGTCGTTTAGTATCATTTACTAAACTAATGTATAGATTGTTAACCCAGATTTTCTAGTCAATCTCTATATAGTCGTGAAATTATGAAAAAATTACTAAATTTGAAAACAAAATTTGAAAACAAATTTTCACCTGATACGAAAATGACGTCAACTCAACTTCCCAAGGTCTTCCCAAGGTCCAAACAAGTTACCAAGTTACAAATTTCGGAGTGAATTTTGTGCAAATTAGAATCACATGAAAAATTGCCAGGTTTAAACGTCGTTAAGTATAATTTAGTAAATTAATTATATAAATTAGTTAATCTCCAGATTAATTTATAAATTTATATATTTAATATATTTTTAATTTATAATTTATAAATAACGAACCAATTTCACGCAAAATTTGTAAGCAAATTTCCACTTGACACGAAAATGGCGTTAATTTCATCTTGGAATTTCCCAAAGTCCAAACAATTTACAAAATTTACCGAGTTTACAAATACCCCAGTGAATTTTGTTACATGAAAACTTAAACGTCATTCCGTAGAATTAGTTAATTCCACATAGTGATTGACACCCTAGATCATCGAATAGTCGCATACAAAAAAATTTCATACAAAATTTGGAAACATTTCCACCTGACACGAAAATGATGTCAACTTCGTCTTGGAATTTCCCAAAGTCCACACTCCAAAAAATTGCGACGAGAAACATATCAGTAGCCAATCGGTGTATAACATCGGTCACTCTCATGTCACATATTAAACATGTGTATCACATCATTAAAATAATTATAATTCAATAATTATCGATGCACAAAGTCCAGTCCAATGAAATTAACCTTTCTTATCATCCACCCAAACTTAATCATGCCATCAACGTACTAACGTAACACGAGGCTCGGTGTAAAGGAGACTGTGCAGAAAGAATTTGGTCCATTTTAGCACAATTTTTACCCACTTATACAGTCTAAATAAATTTAGAGAAAACTTAACGCGAAAAATTTTGAGGTAAAATTTATTTGAAATTTGTTTAACACGTTTGACAAATTTTACACAACCATTTGTCTCATCTTAAATTTTATCATGCAATTTACACGAAAATACTTTAAACTCTTTGAAAATCGGTAAAAAAAATATCAATTTCAAGCAGGAATATACCTTATCTTCGAATTACAATTGTTCAACGTGGCTTAATTTAGTTGTGACATTTTACCATTTTTTGCAATTTTCATGAAAAAATCCTAAAACTCTTTAAAAAACTCCTTAAAATCGACCCCATCCTTTCTGCACTGTCCCAAAATTAATTATGAAACTCGATACCGTGTCCTCCTCTCTTCTCCCTTATCTCGATCATCAATCAATCAATTATTGACTTGTTATTCATTAAATTCATCACCCCGCTATCGATTGCACCATCAGTCCACCACAAATTGCATAGCCTCGTCTTCATCAAACCCATAATAATAGTAATAATTTTGTCTCAAATTTCACAATTATGACGACAAAAATAATAATTCCCATCATTGTTTTCGTCTTCGTGGGTGTGGCCCACTCGGGCGAAATCATCGAGTCGGAACGTATCACGAACTGGGGGGAATGGGGATCATTTCATCGCTGTCCGAACGGCACTTTCGCCCAAGGTTTCCGGCTCAGAACGGAACCTTACAAGGGAGCCTTGATCGATGACACGGCGTCAAATGCGGTCAGGCTGTTTTGTGGAGATCCGGGTAAGAAATTAAGAAAGATGATATGGATCGGGGCAATTATAGTGACCCGGGTTTTTATTTTTAATTAATTAAGTTTTCTGAATTTTATGATAAATTATAAGAAAAATTGACATGCGGTCAAACTCTTTTCTAAAGATCCGGGTAAGATACCGGGTCAATTAGTGACCCGGTCTCTGTTTTTAATTAAGTTTCCCACATTTTAGGATAATTTTTTTAAAAATGACAGATTTTATTTTTTGTTTTTAAATGAAAATTTGGGCAAAAGTCGGGTGAAATTGTTCAAAATTCTGAAATTTTTATAGGAAATCTTCATAGATTTTTGTACAACTCTTTTTGTACCATTATTTTGCAAATTTGTACTAAATAAAAACAAGCCGGTGACAAATTATTAATTAAATTTCATATTTAGCAAGAGCTTGACGTCGTATTAGTGTTATTTGCAAAATCTTGCATGAAAATTGTCTCTAGATGTGGACCCAAGTATATTTTAATATTCATAATACTTTTTAAAAAAAAATTCAAAAATATTTGCAAAGATTCCACAAAAAATAGAAGAAAAAACTTGCAAAAAACTTGCAAAAAAATAAAAATTTTAACATCTTTCCAGACAACATTAACACGCCGACCATTTCCTCGACCGAGGGTCACTGGGGGACTTGGGGGGAAATCTTTAAGTGTCGCCCGGGTGGTTATATTCACGGGTTTTCGCTTCGTGTGGAGCAACCCTTCCTCATCCCGGATGATGAGACGGCCACCAACAATTTCCGCTTTTATTGCAATAATGATGAACCCGACGTGTTTTTGGAGGGCGACGGGATCAATCGGTTCGGACAGTGGAGATCGATCAAAAAATGTGCCAGGTCGGAAGCCCTATGCGCCTTGCAGACACAAGTTCAGAGAGATCAGGGACTTGGTAAGGTCCATTTTTTGTACATGAATTGCAGGCTTTCCCTCCATAATAATTTCAAAGTTTTGAAAAAATTTCTGAAAATTTTAGTGCCGGTGAAAATTTCAAGTTTTAACTGTTTATTAAAGGAGAAAAATTTACCCTAAAATTTCATAAAAATTCCCGAGAATTTAGATCCCCTCGTAGTTTCTTGAGATTTCTAGAAACTTTTGTTTTGATAAAAATCTCAATTTCTGAGATCAAAATCCGTGAATCTATTTAGTATCTTCTCCAAATTCCCAAGTTTTCAAGAATTTCTGGAAATTATTTTCTAAATTATTGCCGATCTATTTTGTCTTTTTGAAATTATCGCTATGATTTTTTGTATTTTGTACTTTCCTTAACTTTCCTTAATTTACAAAATTTGGAATTTCATGAACAATTCACTCGAATATCGGTACGTAATCCAACCATTTCGTTTCCACAAGTTTCCAAAGATTACAAAGAAAATGTTACAAAATTTGCAAACATTCGAGTGAATTTGGTGAATTCTTTTCAAAAATTGTTATTCCACCCGTAAAATTACGTAAATGTCCATAACTCATTCTTAATTTTGTATGCAGGGGATGACACGGCCCTGAACAATATCTCTGCCGAGTGTTGTTCTCCACCCTTGAATAATTAATTGGGAATAATGCCGCTCGTCCAAATTTAGCACGACAACTCATCGTCATCAACACTACTAATCAATCTGTCCCCCTTTTGGTTCGAATAAATCCTAATAATTCTTCGCGTAAACGTTATAATTGTTATGTGAGTCCATTTATTTATAAATAAACAAACAATCCTGACCAGCAAAAGGTGGGGTCTTAAAGAAAGCATGTCATCAATTTTCTGGGGGTCTCGAATTCTTAAATATTCTAGTTTTTAGTACAATTTAGCCAAATATGAGCGAATTTTTAGCTAAAACTTCAAAAAATAGATAACACCTTACCCAACCTTCCGCCCCTACAATACATATTATACTATGATTATTTATCTATTCAAAATTACGAAAATTTTGAGATGCCGTTCATCAAATTCGTTGAAAAGTAGATCAAAATTCACGTCAAATTCATTGAAATGCAGACCAAAATTCGCCTGAAATTCGCTCAAATACAGATCACAATTCGCTTCAAATTCGGTCAAAATTAGTCTTACATCCGTTCAAAAACTGGCCAAAACTCGCCATAAATTCGATAAAAAACTGACCAAAATTCGCCTAAAATTCGTTGATAAACTAGTCAAAATTCGGTCAACTCGTCAAATCACACCCTTTATGCTCTGCCCTCGCAATTAATTACGAAACAGTTTGGCGCAAAGGAAGGCGGAATTAGACTGCCTAATTAATACGCAGCACAGTTCGTTAATGTACGTTCATTACATGACGATGACCATGCAATGCAAGCAGTCTCTTAAATAAATACTACGCGAAATTGATGCAGAATTGTGATTATTGCTGGCTGCACGGTTCAAGGCGAGTCATCATCAAAACAATCATTTTCTACGCACTCTAAATAATCCGGTAACTTTTACCAAAATGAGTTTGGTAAAAGTGTATAGTTACCGGTTTGGTAAGAAGCGGTAAGAAATTCGCCGTAAGTTCAACTATACATAAACTGGTAATATTTAAATTGTTACCAAATCCAACAAATGTAATTTTTTGTTACCGGCGTTTATCAACAGTTTTGTTTTGGTAACGAACTCGAATTTCGCGGTATCATTTTCTTACTGTAAACTCACAATGATAATAAATTGTTACCAAATATTTAGTCCCGGTAACAGGATTTTTACCGGATTATTAAGCGTGTCCATCCACTACTATGACTGGACTGACTAACTAAACAAAACTGTTAATGTGTCCAAAGAGAAAATTCTTGGAATCCGATGCAGCAGAAATTCTGCGCCAACATCACAAACAACTCCATGAGCAATGCCAAATGTTTAGTCATCAGCAATTTGCATGTTCAATATTTTGCACGCTATTTTGTCTCCCTCTCATTCTTTACACGTTGCCAAATATTCGAATCGCAAATTTAATTACACATTTTTATGACTTCAAAAAGCGCCACGAACATGACACCAATTCTTCTAAATTTTGAAAAACTAGCCACTCATTTTTCACCTTTCCGACAATTGTTCGTCTTTTTTTTACCCATGACTTGATAATAAATGCCTGATAGCTTTCGAAATATTGACAAAGTTTCCTAGTTTTTCACTAAAACTTCCCTGTCATCCAGACAACAAAACCTTGAAAACCTGGAACACTAAGTAAATTAATTAATTCACACAATTTTTATTACCGGAATTAAACCGATCAAATCATTGTTTGATTTTATATCGATTCATCGATCCCACTTCATCATCCCGATTTCATAAGTAAATCCCACCCCCATTTATAATTATTATGAAGAAATAAATCTCCTTGTAATGATATAACTTGTCATTATCTCCACAAAAATTTTTTTTCTCCCGAATAATAATACAAAAATTTCCCATTTTTCCTTCGCCCACAATTTCCATGCTAATAAATCTTTATGTAACAACAAAACACTTCCTTTTTTCACGGGCAATCTTGAAAACCTTGGCAAATTTATAAATTTTCTCAATTTTGTAACCGGAGTAAAACTATGATAATTCATATCAAAAAAAAAATAATGTATATTTCAAATGTAATTTATATCTTAAAGTACAATGGAGGGAGACAAATGGCAGACCTTGGAAACATAGTCAAATTAATAAATTTTCTCAATTTTCTAACTGGAGTAAAACTATGACAATTCATATTTAAAAAATAATAATTTATTTTAAAGAAATAATTTGTATTCAAAAAATCATTTATAATTATTTTTAATAACTAATTCATATTTCAAAAATAATCTATATCGAAAACTACAACGGCGACAAGTGGCCAATCTTGAGAACCTTGTAAAATTTATAAATTTTCTCAAGTTTCCAACTGGAGTAAAACTATGACTAAATTTCCTCCAAAACTAATTCTCTATATTTCTCAAATCGATAGCTTTTCAGTATCAGAAATTAACTTGACATTAACATTTAAAAAGTTCAATTTATCTCAAAACTCATGAAATTAATGACATTTTAATTTTAACAATTTTCATCCAAACGCATTGCATTATACATCCATGAAGAATCTTTAAATATATTTTTCCCTAATCTTTCCAAAATAATAATTTAGCCGTGTAACCCTTACAATTGTATGACAATTTATATTTAGGAAATTAATCCATCTCCTACTCTTCACCCCGATTTAATAGAAGTAGATAAAAATCCCACCCGACCCGATTAGTTCTTATCCATACCAAATAAATCTTGCACATATTTATTAATCATCTCCACAAAAAAAAAATTAGAGGAATCCTTTCCCCTTACGAGATTTCTTCTCTTCCTTCCCACAAATACCAAATCAAGCGAGATGAAATGATGGTTGGCATTAATTTCTTTCGGCCACTTTTAGTACGACGAGGCAAAAAACTAAATCAAATCAGAGGGGATATATTTCTTATAGGGATTCCGGCGAATTGGGGTTGTCACACGTGACCACACGTGAGGGCGGATATGTATTTAAATACTTCCAACTTTTTCATTTGATCCCGACAGACGGTCAAATTTCGCTGGTTTGTTCCCTAACTCGAATAGATCACAAAAATTTCAAAATATTTTTACATATTGTCACATTTTTCTACGTATATGATGTATTCAGACGTATTTATAAATATTTCCGCTATTATTTTAAAAACACGTAAATCTTTTATAAATAGTTTTCAATTGTCAAATATTTTCAATTTTTACATATTTCTAAGTTTTCACACATATTATTTGAAAAAAGCACGTGCATCTGTTACATATTTTTTTTCAAAAACGCACATATGTATTTTGTAAACATTTCAACAATGTGAGACGAAATTTTTTTTCTCAAAGAAATTGGACCATACAAAATTCGTTACGTAGATTGAAAATACAAATTTTCCAATGTTCTCATTTCTATGCTTTTTTGTACATATTTCGCACATACGTAGTTTTCGTAAATATTTCCGTGATTTTTCGTAACTACATAGCCGGCCTGTGGACATGAGGCGAAAACTGCATCCTCCATCCACCCACAAGAGCACAGGGGTCGTAAAAATTCTTAAGAAAGAAAATAACCACGTAGTAAAAATGTAGTGTGGATGTGGACGATGCGAAGCCATAAAGAAATACACCCATGAATTATTTCCACAGTCAATCTCAACCCTCTCCGATCTAAATTGGAATTGCTTCCCTGCCATAAGATGGATCGTAGTCACGGCAAAGTTGGGAAAAAAAGTAGGGATCACACATTTTTCGAAATTTTATTTTGTATTTTTAAGAAATTTTTAAGTTTGACGCCGAGAAGCTTTTAGAATGATTTTTTAAATTCATATATCGATTAATAGATACAGTGGGTGTCCAATAAATAAATTTCTGTCAAAAATTTCTGTCAAAAATTTCTTAGTTTCCGTTGTATTGCATTGCATCCTATATAAATTTTAATTGCAAATTTCTTAAATCCAAAGAATAAATTTCCAAAGAATTGGAAATTTGGCTAATTGTTTTTTCGAAAAACTTCCATTTGTGCAAAGTTTTTCCTGGGACGGAAATTTAAGCAAAATTCACCAAAAGTGAGGACGCCTATTAGTCCCAAAAGAGATAAACAAAGCAACATCAGGAAACTAGGCACAGACTGGACCCACATAACCCATCCTACATTTAACTATTTCTTAACAGGATTAATTTCTCTGGACAAGAAAAAACACTCGTTATTAATAATCCGTAACCATTTTACTTTTGGCCACATCCTAAATTTTTACCACTTTTCTTCTTAACAGGACGATTTAACCAGGTTCATACCCTACGAACGTAAATCATACTTTGTCCTGATATGTATCATCACCAGACGAAAAAAACAGCCTCCATATTTGGAACCACAACAACATTACTAAAAAACCAGAAGAGATAGCCTGCGAAGGAAATTCGTACCAAAAAAAGTCTCCATTATGGAATATGCAACAATAAAGTAAGGAAATTAGGGTTTATTCTTTAAAAAAATAAGTATTTTTTGTGAGGCTCAAATTCAGGTAGAAATATGAGATTTTTCTTCATTTCCTTACAATCAATTCCAGCAAAATTGGAGTCTTTTGTTGTGAATTCAAATTTCAAATTTCCAGTTTTTTATTAGTTTCAACAGAATTATCTATTCTTTTGTGTAAATCGATGGCACCGTAATAAAAAAAATTCAATTACGCATTTTATCCAATTCTCGGTAAAGATGTTCGATCATGATCATGGCAAAAATCAAATTATAAGCTTTTATCATATTTTATGAAATATTCAAGATAACGACATTCTATTTTTTGTAATTTTAATATAAAATTCTTTACATTTTTCCAGGAAACTTATTTTGCCACATGAATCATGGAAAATAGATAACGACATCCCAATTTTAATAGAAAATTTCCTGAATTTTCTAACGAATTTATTTACACAAATACATGAATACGCCCATTGTTACTGCAGATCGTAAATCTGATTATATTAAAAAACCTATCATTTTACCAAGATAAACAAACAAACAGACAAAAAAATCTGTTACATAGTGCATAGAAAGAAAAAAACGTCAACAAAAACCACAAGAAATTATGTTTGCCAAGCCAATTTCTCAACATTTCACATGCACACAAATTGCCAATTATGTACCTCGAATAGGAGAAGAAGAAGACATAATATTTCCAACCGCTGCCAATTTCTGTAGATTACATTTTTCATTTCCATTTCATTCCTCAAATTACAACATTACGTGAAAACAAATCATGTCAAGAGCATCTTTACAAGACAAACTTAATTTTTTCCTGTTTTGTAAATCAAATCAAGTATTATTCTTTTGAATTCCGCTTTTTGATCAGAAAAGTGATCAAATTCACGCCATATTTTGGTAAAGTGTGTAATTTAGAAAAATGTATGGCTTGTAAATTGGTTCAGAATTTAGGTTAAAAGGTAATTTATAAAGTTTAATTGAAATGATTTTTTGAAAACTTTTCAGAAAGAAGACACCTCAGTTTTTGATTTTGTGTAAACTCCCTAAATTTTAAAAAATACTATAAACAATTTTATTCAAAATTTACAATCTAGAATCTCAAATTTTAAACAGTTAAGGGCCACTCGTAATTTAAAATCTTCAAAATTTCCAAATTTTCCTTTACATATTATTGACAGTTTCACATTTGCAAATTTACGCAATTTTACAAAGTTCATCCGCAATTTTATAAAAATCTGAAAAACTACCAAACTATCCGTAACTTAAAATTTCATAAATTTCTTCTTTACTAAATTATTGACAGTTTCACAAATTTACGCAATTTTACAAAGTTCCTCATTACGAATCCATTACAAGTACAATTTTCCCCAATCAAAGCCCAATATTTCACTCGCATCCCGTCAACACGTACATGTCATTCTTCATTTCTCTCTAAAAACTGTCAGCTAAATAATAAATCACGTCATAATAAATCATCATTCCTCATTTAAAAAAATAGTCGCAAATACAAAACTATTTTTTTTATTCAAAGTACAATATTTTCATTTGCATATCGCAAAAATTGCTATTATTTTGGCGCACAATTAGTGGTCTCTGGTCATTTTGGTCAGTATTGCATTCATTTTCTCTTGCACAACGGGCTCATTCGCACCAAAGGCAAAATATTTTATGAAATCCATTCCCATTTCTATTTAAAATACAACGATACCAAAACAACAATTGTGAATGGTGCATTGTGCATTCAAGATTTAGAGAGAGATATTTATTATGAAGAAGAGGAGGAGGATTGACTCATTTGCATAAAACGATCCTTAATTTAATGAATGTTGCATTCTCCACGAGGAGATAAATAAATGCGTTGCATTGTCCTGAGAAGAAGAATACGTAGAGATAAATAATATCACCATTTTCGTTTCGCGAGCATTTTTGCAATACAATTTGTAACATTTCTTTTTTGGCTAAGATGTCCGAATTTAGAAAAAGAGATGAAACCATTGAGGCAAACATTTTGGAAAATTCTCTTTTAAAAATGGGACTTTGAATTCACAAATAAACGGCACTAGATTTTGAAAAAGTCGAATTTGTTCCGGAAATAATTTAGCAGAAAAACGGTGATGTCAGAATTTAGCATGCCCGAATTTAGGGAAAAGAAACACTTTTTGCAAATTCCTTTAAAAAATGGGACTATGCAAAATTTTTCATTTTATAAAAACGTCACCAGATTTAGGAATCGAATTTGTTCCGCAAAATAATTTAGCAAAAACTGTGAAGTCCGAGTTTCAATGTAGCGAAATAAAAAATATGCACAAACGATAACAAAGTCGGGTTTTGCAAATTCCCCTAAAAAAATATCCCTACAAATTCGCAAACATTTCCGAAAACTGAGTCACACTTTCTTCTTCCCAAAGCAATAATTTTGCACAAAAAATAAAAATAAGTCTGCAGCAAACATGATAAATAACAAGTGCCAATTCCCCGTCAAATTAAGCCTATCTGGTAACACATCAGTCAACTTTTTGCCAACGTAAAAATTCGCAATTCTTGCAAATCCAAATATAAGCACATTTCATTTAACTCGAATCCTTCAACTGTCAAGATGCCTGTCTGCCAGCGGTGCGATAATGTTGACGGAACTTTTTATTATTGCAGTTTTTAATATCATCTCTCTTTCAACACTTTCCTCTTAACATAATTCGCATTACTGGCAATTTTTTTTTTTTGCATATTTCGCAAAGTGAGCAGCTTACTTATGAATGTATTTCGCAATAAAAATAACTCCTCTTCCCATAATAATAATAATTCCCAACGTTGTGTGTTGTGTTATACAGCATAAAATTTGTCACCCCACCACAATTATTAATTAATCTTTGTCTACTTAAAAAAATCGAGTTGAATACATTCGCAAATTCTTTTTCCATTTCGTTTCACTACTTGAACGAACCCACGCCCAGCTAATTTATTAATTTGGACTGTGCATAAAGCATGGGATAGATTTTGGAGAATTTTTTTTACAGAAATTAACAAATTTTGCAAAAATGTGCAAAATTTCCATTAGATTTGACTATGCACAAAATATGGGCTAGATTTTTGAACACTTTTTACAGAAATTAACAAAAATGTGGGAAATTTCCATTAGATTTGGCTGTGTATAAATCTAGGGAAAAATTTTGGAAGAATTTACAGAAATTTACAAAATTTAGCAAAAATTTGCAAAATTTCCATTACATTTGACCTAAATAAATGTACATTACTCGATTTTCGAAGAATTTTGACCTCTGCATCCTCCTATAAATTGACCACATGCTTTATGCACGTTCCCTAAAAGTGCATCCATTACTGTTTGGAGAGCAGATTAAAATTTGCATACATTAAATTCTGCTCACATTCATTATGCATTATGCGCTCACTTACAAATTTGGGTTAGACAAATATTGCATTCGTGCCGATAGGAGTAAAATAGTGTAAAGTGATCCAACACATCTTCTCGCTTACCTGAAAAGTAAACAAAACAAATATATGAGGCATCATTCGTACGTATGAAATGTGGTAGCAATCGGTTACCAAATTTTGCAAACGGCCACGTGGTCATAATAATAAATTTGTCATGAAATAGTGGTGACTTCGAAATTAGCACCAATGTGGTAGCATTCGGTTACCAATTTTTGCAAACAGTCACGTGGTCAAAATAATGAATTTGTCACGAAATGGTGGTAACTTCGAATTTAAAACCAATGTGGTAGCAATCGGTTACCAATTTTGTACCAATTTGCAAACAGCCACGTGGTCATAATAAAAAATTTGTCATGAAATTTCAAAAATTAAAACGTCCTCAGCCATAAATAATTATAGCAGAGTCAAATTTGGAATGTATTAAATTAACCACGGAATTATTTATGGTCCGATTTTTATCAAATTTTGACCCCATCATCCTTTCTTACACGGCCTTGCAAAAAAGTCGACCACATCCTTCCCGCAAGAACCTACGGCTTACTTCCTTAGCACTATTTTTACATGTTAAGCTTAGGATTATGCTCTCTCTCTCTCTATTTATCCATGTACTGGATTACGACTTCCTTCTTTTTACACAGCACGGAAACATGATCATCTACGTACTCTCATAAAAAATGTGACTGGCTGAATAAATAAATAGTAAATAAATGTATGCATAATCCAAGGCGAGTCAGGTATTAAGTAGATGAGCAAGCAAAGCAGTCGACCAGGGTTTGGAAAATCACATTGTGATGTGATTTCTGTAAAATATGTGATTTGTGGGGCAAATGGAACAAGTTTATTCACTTTACTTTTCTATTTAATTGAATAGTTAGGAAGCCAAATCCCGAATTTTGAGCAAATTGTATATAGCAAATATGTATGCCTAAGGTGGATTCGAATTTCTTGATTTCTGTAATTATGAGACAAAATGGGACAGCTTTATTTAATACAAGTCTCAAATTAAAAATTAGCTTTAAAATTAAACTAAATATTCGGATTCAGCACAAAATTTGGAGCATTTTCATACGCAACTTGACCAGTTTTTTGACCAACTTTCGTCTTTAAGATACAAATCTAATGCAAAGTTTGCATTGCAAATTGCCAACTTTGTCCTAATCGGGTCAAGTCAGGTAGCAAAATGCTCAGAATTCCATGCCGAATCCAAGTATCAAATTTATTTTATACTAGAATGCATTTTGTACCACTTTCCCCCAGTAATATTACAATATTACACAAATCACAATTAGTGAATAAATCACAGCGTGTGAAAATCACACTAAAATCACAAAGTGCGATTTATTACCACAATTCAAACCCTGCACTAGACTCTCCCTGCTAAAACATTACTAAATTTAATCCACCATCATGTTATGCAATATTTCTTTACGTAAAAAAAAGTCTACCACCACAAATTTTTTTGCGGTCTGACTCGATTTCTGCAACATTCGCATAATTCTAGCATAGATAGATAACTATGTAAATATATACATTTATCTAATATCTTCATCCTCGCAAAACACAAACCGCAATTTTTTTTCTTTTGCGAAATAATACAATTTTCGATACAAAGAAAATTGCGTGTTTTTCCCATTTCTGTCTGGATGGATCGAAACTCAATTACATTCTTCTGATAAATAAATGATCCAACTTTCTCTCTTTTTTGGCGAGTTTTCTTCTTCTCCTAAAGTCGGACAGTGTTTAAGAAACGCTTAGCGAAATGTCGATGCGATTCGAATCCATGGTTTGTCTTCGAGAGATAAATGCTTTTACCAACTTTTACTGAAAATAGTGAGGCAATTCACGCCGTCATGAATTACGGATAAGGGGCAGGAATATAGGCCAAGTAATATAACGTGGTAACAATCTATTACCGAGGGGCGACTACCTACATATCCGGCAATTTTTGCACATTTTTATTTGAGAGCCTCCCATCACACCTAAAACTATATAAAACTTATTAAAAAGTTAGAATAAAAAACAAACCCGGAGACTAAATCTTACAATTTTTAAATAAAATTCAGTTAGCAATTATGCAAATTATTACCACGTGATTTTCAGTTGGGATGAATATATAAAACAATGTATGGAAATTTAGCACATCCCTTCGGTCAACAATTTATGACAATTTACCAAAAAAACTAATACGGCAATTCACGCAGTCCTTGGTAACTTTGTAAAATCGGTAAATTTTGTAAAATCGGTAAATTTTGTAAAATAAATTGACAAACTTTTACAAAATAAAAAGACGCCCTTGAACTGAGCAAGTTTACTAAAAATTTGTGCGTTAATTTTCCTCGGAAATATTTTCAAAATTTTGTACAAGTTTGTAAGTTTACAGAATTTATAGATTTTATAAAGTTATTACCAAGGCCTGCGTGATTTGCGGCAGTATTAAATTTAACTTTGAAGAAATTAGGACCAATTTCTACCTCACATTTCACCCCAGGAAATGTAAACTACTTTCTTCCCTACAATTGGTCACCTCACCATCATCTCGTCATCGTCATCGTCATGCAATCATGATATCCAATCCACCTCATCAATTATTTCCCTCTCGTCATGTGTGCTTTCTGCTCGAGGGGAAAAATAATAAACAAATAGGTAAAACCCGGTTTGATTAACGGGTTTACGTCCTCACAAATTTGGCCCAACCCAATCTTTGTACCCGTAATAATACACATTTTCAGTGAAAATTTCAATTTTCTAAATCAATCAAATTCTTCTTGAAATGTCAAAAAAGTCATTCGTGGAAGGAAACAAACAAGGTTTGTTTGGGGCTGTGCAAAAATCATGTGTCAGCAGTTTAAAAGTTGTAAGTTTGTTACCCATTTGGTAATAATTAGGGTAAAGTGGATGTAGCAATTATGAAATTTTCTATTAATATTGCACCTTGTTTCTCTTTAAAATTGCACACAATTCATACATATTAACCGAATGTTACTTGCAAATACGAAATCCCCAAAAAAATTTAAAAAATATTTGTATACTTGCATTGTAATAAAGTCAAAATTTATTTATTTTGGTTTTCATAAATATATAAATACTAAAAAGATTTAGGGACCGGGTTATGGTTTTTATTACATGTTTCACATTTCGGAATTACGTAAAGAAAAATGGAAAAAATTCATCCATACAAATATTACAAAAATTTCGGAAAGAAAATAAGAATTGAAATTTTAAAAATAATTTTGGACAAAAAATTGGTCAACATTTTTTTCGGTTCACAAATGAAAATAACGGGTGCCCAAATTTGTGAAATTCGGCTGTTTTTTACTTATCCTTTCTGCACAGCCTGGCCGAAATTAAGGGAATAAACTGAACGAATCCTACATGTAAAGTTCATGTTATTGCTTCCCCAGGCAAAACTGGATGGATGGATGGATGGACGACCTGATTTGGTAAACATGACTTTGTGCATGGATCCAATATGGTACCATTTTCTGTCTCATGTCGCATCGTCCTCACCCCTCGAGGAATTTCCATTTGACGCGTAAATATGTAGCTCATAGTCGCGTTTTTCTCACAGAAAGACAAGTTCACAAGGGAGCAAAGTATGTAGCGTATAATGGATCCGGAAAGTCGATGACAACAAATCGACAATAGATCACGACTCGCTTTCTCTTCATTTCTTTTGACGTCGCGATGTGGAGGACAATATGAGAAAAAATCTGGAGACAGGAATTCATAAATCTTTTACTGTGTTTCTTACTCTGCTAAAAGGGCGAAAAACATCTCTAAAAGGTTGAAGGTAAGTGGTTACCAAATTGGTAAAATCGGTACCAAGTTGCTACCAAAACGTATTATATACAATATTACACGATCAAAAATTGGTAACAAAACCTAATCCAAAATTTCGAGGTTTGGTAAGAAAAACGGTAAATTTACAATCGTTCTACCAAATCTGTAAAATCATTACAAACTGCTACCGAAAACAAATTTGCAAGACCAAAAATTGGTAGAAAATCTTAATTCATTAATTAACACGAAATATGTAAACTTAACCCGTCAAAAAAGACATCATCGTTGTTTCGTTCTTGGATAAAAAAACGTAAATTTACAATCGTTTTACCAAATTGGTAAAATCACTACCAAATTCCTACCAAAACATATTTACATGACCAAACTGATAACAAAACCTAATCCATTAATTAACAAGAAATACATAAACCTGACCCATCAAATTTCATGCCTTGGTAAAAATAACCGGTAAAAACAACATGATCTCTCCCCGTAAAAACAAAATCTGGTAAACAAACAAGTATCCCTGACTTATCGACATCTCAATCCAATAACAATATGCACGCCTCCGTAAAATCCTGTTCTGCTCCTTTCCTTTCCATCTCCCAATTTAGTGAATCTTTCCCTGGCCAAAATTTCTGAGCAGGTGAATGAATCCATACAAATAAAGTGAAAGTCAAAAGCTGCTTTCTCCTCCTCCATGGAAACAGTGATGCCTATGGTGACTGATCCCCCCTCCTCCCATCGAGCCACCCCGGCTCTCTCTCTCTCCACGTCGGAAATCTAGCCCAAAATTCCCCAAACAAAATACAAAACAAAGTCCAGTCCAGGTTGATTTTCACTGGAAAACCTGTACCCGAGAATTCGTGCAAAGCCCGGATTAACTTTTCCACCTCGGCGAAATTACACCAACCAACATCGCATCGCTTACAGCTAGCAAGCCAGACTTACGACTTGTCGTACATAATGCAAACGCACACAATAACATCTTTGATCTCTCCGCCTGAGCGGTAACACTTAGGAGGAAAGGGGCATAAATAAAGGGTGGCATGTAAAAGAAGGGTCACCTTTTCATGAAAAATTTGACCTTTTTTGACCTTGAAGATTTGTAAAGTAAATCGCGAGAGGAAAATGTATGCCAATTTTTGAGGATTTTTTGATTTTTTTTTGAGTGAGGCACGGGCCTCACTTTGTCAGACTCCCACAACCATTCATAAATAAAGGGTGGCACATTAAAAAAGGTCACCTTTTCATGAACCACG